AAAAAAAAAAAAAAAAAAAAAAAAAAAAAAACAGAAGAATCAAATGAGATAATATGCTTTGTAAACTATAAAGTATCACAGAAATATAAAGATTTATTATTATAGAAGGCTCCAGGTTTGGTTCTTTTTTCTGAAAAATCAGTGCATAGTTCTTTTTTAAAAAAGGTGAGTAGACACAAATGAAAATTAAAGCAGTTATCCAGAAAGTGTACATGGCTTAGCCAAAAATTGGGTTTGACGGTAAGCGTTGTACACTATGCCCTGAAAAGGCTCTGAACTTCAGGTCCTCAGAATTCTGCCTCTTGTCTGTCCTTAAGTCCTATGTTCTTTTTTTTAAAATTTACTTATTTTATTTATTTTTGGCTGCACTGGGTCTTCGTTGCTGCGCGCGGGCTTTCTCTAGTTTCCGTGAGTGGGGGCTACCCTTCGTTGCGGTGCATGGGCTTCTCAGCGCGGTGGCTTCTCTTGTGGCAGAGCATGCACGGGCTTCAGTAGTTGTGGCACGTGGCTCAGTAGTTGTGGCTCTCAGGCTCTAGAGCACAGGCTAACTAGTTGTGGCACAGGGGCTTAGTTGCTCTGTGGCATGTGGGATCTTCCTGGACCAGGGCTTGAACCCGTGTCCCCTGCATTGGCAGGCAGATTCTTAACCACTGCACCACCAGGGAAGCCCAAGTCCCATGTTCTTAAAGTCAGTGAAATCCGTCTTCAGTACACCGCTCTGCAGTCACGTCATGCCTGCTTGCTTTCCTCCCGTATGAGTAAGCCGAGTCCCTGAAATATTAGGCATTAAAAAGAAGACACCATATGAGTAATAAATAATAAGAGCTGAACAAGAAATGGGTGTCAGAGAGTGAAAAGTCCCAGGAGAGTCTCTGAGAACCGGCAGAAACACCCAGACCTCCCCTGGCAGCCTGCCAATGGAAGGACAGCCCGGGCCTGCCACTGAGTCACTGTCCTCAAGAACACCAGACAGCAGCTCCTGGGATTATGATTCTGGAGGTTGTCTCAAGTCTCTGATTTCCCAAGCTATTTGTTAATGAGGCATATCCAGGTGTATCCTGTTCATGGCATTTAGAAGGAAACTTCCAGGGAAGTGAAAGTTCCAGGAGTGAGGAATCAGCAGGCTGGTCAAAGGGGAGGGCGCTCCTGGGACCCAGGAGATCTGAGTTTACTTCCTGTGAGTCACGACGCCTTTTCTGGATGCCACTGCAGGACCATCTTTAGGATCTTGCCAAACTGCAGGTACATAAATCATTGCTTTTCAACAAGTACTTACTTTCACATTAATGAGTCACAGAGATTAAGTTTTATCAATTTCTCTCTCCTATTTGAGGGTTCCCCAAAAGTCGGAGAAATCTCCTGGGACATTATTGCGACGACAGCAGAACATTATCAACATCGTCACCATTATCACTTTCATCATTATTATGATTGTCATCGGCTCTTCCCCGACTTGCAAAATTGATGAGCGGGGTTACCCTTAGGTGGCAGCCAACCTGAGAGCATTTAAGAAATGTTGTGGGCTTCCCTGGTGGTGCAGTGGTTGAGAGTCCCCCTGCCGATGCAGGGGACGCGGGTTCGCGCCCCGGTCCGGGAAGATCCCACGTGCCGCGGAGCGGCTGGGCCCGTGAGCCATGGCCGCTG